CAAAGGGAAATGGGAAACATGGGAACCAAAAGGAACATGGGAAACATGGGAATCAAAGGGAACATGGGAAACGTGGGAACCAAAGGGAACATGGGAATCCAAGGGAACATGGGAACCAAAGGGAAATGGGAAACATGGGAATCAAAAGGAACATGGGAATCAAAGGGAACCAAAGGGAAATGGGAAACATGGGAACCAAAGGGAACATGGAAAACGTGGGAACCAAAAGGAACATGGGAATCCACAGGAACATGGGAAACATGGGAACCAAAGGGAAATGGGAAACATGGGAACCAAAAGGAACATGGGAAACATGGGAATCAAAGGGAACATGGGAACCAAAAGGAACATGGGAACCAAAAGGAACATGGGAACCATGGGAATCAAAGGAATGTTTTCAGCAGTCTGCTCCAGTGCAAGCTGCATTTCCAAGGCAGCTGACACAAACTGAATGACACTAAATGACAGTTTCAAACCAGCACTTATCAATAAATCATAGTTTGAACTGATAATTTGATCCCACACACAAACTGAAAGACTAAGGTTTTGCAGAGGACCACATTTACTGTCTTTGTACAGCGCCCAGCACATAAACCCCTCTTAATTATCTGCAGTTAAATGACACTGCTGTTAAAACACACATTTCTGAAGGAAAAAAACCCAGCTCTTATGACCTCCAGGGTTAGGTGGAGACTTCTGTCAGATTTTGTTACATTATTTATAAGCTGGTTAAGCAAAAAAAGTTGCCAGGTTAAAAACTATCCATGTTCCAAAGGATATGGTTGAAAGGAATCAGCTCATGGTGGAAAGGTTTTATCACCATGTCCCAGGACAAAGAGTGCAACAATGGCACAGAACCACGAGCTGTGGGAGCTTTGGGAACAGAAGGATCCTCTGTGGCCTGCTCAGAGTACAGAGAGCTCACTCCTACCTGGAGGGGCATGTTCCCTGCAGTCACACTGACTTTCTCTTCCAGTTTCTGGGGCTCAGCAGAGGCCCCTTCACACTGCAAACCACACTTGTGCAAAATATTGTTGAACACCTAAAAGAGGAGAACAGGGCAGTGTTAACAGACAGGAGCCAGCAGTGGGACACAGCAGAGAAGGCAGGAGCTGAAGGAGGGTGGGAGGGAAGTGTAATCAAGTAATAATTTTAGATAAAGTTCAAAACCTCCCTGACACACATTAACAAACTAGGGAAAGGGAGAAAGAGCAAAGTCAGGGGAGGCTTAGGCTGGATATTAGGGAAAGTTCTTCCTCCAGAGGGTGGTGAGAGCTCAAGGAGTGTTTGGACAATGAGTGGGACTGTTGGGATATCTGTGCAGGGCTTGATGATTCTTGGGTCCCTTCCAACTCAGGATGCTCCTCATGAAACACATTCTGCCCACCTACAGTGTTCCCTTCCCACTCTCCAAGCTATGGCACCTTTCCAGATGAAATCCCAGCAGGAAAGCAGTACCTGGAGGATAGTGGGCAGAGTTTCATCGAGGTCACTGAAGTAACTGGGCTGCTGAGTGAAGATGTTTCCTGAAAAGGGAAAGGAGAGCATTTCCATCCGTTCAGACATTGATGCCAATGAGCAAATTAGCATCAGAAAATGGTACTTGTGTTATTGCTGACACCCCAGACACACCTAGGGACCACGTGGGACACAGCCCACCCTGACTCCTCAGCTCATGCACTCCCTGCTCCATCAGCTCCCAGTGCCCCTGGAGATCCAGCAATGGGAATATGCTCATCAGAGCAGAGCAAATGAGATGTCAGATGATTCACGCTCCAGGGGCTGAATCAATGAATAATGCAAATACTATCACTGAACAACCCCAGATCCTTTATTTGACAACTGGAGTTGACTTTTAATTACTGATAACAGCTCAGCACACACCAGGAGATGTGCTGCCGAATATTTCTTAAAGGTAATGAGGCTTTAGTAACACCTGCTATTATTTTACTAGGACTCCATTATCTTTACAAAATACTCCACTGAGTAATGCCACACCATAAATCCTCACCAAGCAAGCACCAAGGCTCCTATTTTCCTGGGAATTACTGTTCAGATTATGACAATTAAGAGTTCTCCAGCAAGGACAGAGCTATGAGACAAGTTTCAGATAAAGTTATACCCTAAGAACCTCAAGTTTCTGAAGTTATGAATTACACACCAGAACTGCTCATGCCATTACTGTCACGACATAGTGAAATAATCAGGTGAGCAAATCTTTGGTCACTTGCATGCAGCATGACTGGGTGGCACTCCAGAGCATAACTCAAAGGAGGTTTCATTACTTAGGTCTCTTTTGGAATATGTTAAGACCCAGATAATCTGAGCTTCCCATCTGAAAGGGAAGCATCTGTCTTGCCATGCCTGCTTTCCATCTCTGAGGCACAACAGAGGAATTTAGAGTAGAAGCTACTGAAAAAGGATAAAAAGATTAAAAATGCAAAGGTTTATCTAAGATTTTCGGGCTGGAAATCTGTCTACACCACATGATCTAACTAACACTTCTCACGTGAGCGAAGCTGGAAATGAGACAAAAATAACTACCAAAGAAATGGAAAACCTCCATCCCATGAGCTGCAGACAAAGTGGGTCAGAATTCAGGAAGAGCTGGCTTAATCCAAGGGCAGATATTCTTGCACTCAGGTGATGTTAAAGACCAAGATAAAGAGAGCAGCTAAATCAACGTGCTCCATCTTCACTGCTCAGCCCCCATGGCTGATGTGCCTCCCTGGGCACTCACCAGCAGGGCCATGTGCACAGAGACCCAGGGATAAGCACAGCTTGAGCAAGGCTCTGAAGTGTTCACAGAGCCCCACATTCCTCCTACAAGGGCTGATGGCATTCAATTGGCACAGGAAACAACTGAGCCTAGGTTTGTGTCTAACAACATGAGCCTAGCTCAGGGCAGCAAAGCAGGACATGGTGCACATGGAAAAAGAAAAGCACAATCTGATCTAGAAATGACAGATCTTAGGTGCTACTGAACAATTAATTTTCAGAGCAGTTCCACTGGTATAAACCCCAGTAAGTCATTTGTCATATAAGCAAAAACCTAAATGTAGCAAGTTGTTCCTTGGCTTTTACTGACCAATCATCTTCTGGAGCAGGAGCCCATTTCCTTTCCCAAAAAGGACACAGAGATCCAGAATCTTGGGGATATCAAACAGGAAGTTGTTGTAAATAATTTTTCCAAAGACAGAAGGAGTGATAAAATGATCCTACAAAGACAGAAAAAAAAAAGGAATTTAAAGGGTAATCCATATCTAACTCCAGCATTATAATGGCACCTGTAAAAACATCTCTCAAAGGTGTATTAAGGAATTTATTTCATAGAAGGGAGCAACTCTTCTTGAAACAGCTTCTGTGGAGCCATCTATTCCCACATTCCTGTCCTGCCACACCAGGCACCCCACTGAACAGCAGCTGAATTAATCTAACCTACCTAAAAGTTTTACAAAAAATCTCCCTGCAGGTCCCCAGTTCCCAGCCTGACACCAGAAGAGCTCAGGAGCAGGAATGAGTAACCAGGCACAGGGACAGCCTGAGGTTCTTGCACCCTGGAGAGCAGAACCCAGCACCAGAGAGCACAGAATCAGGGACAGGCAGGGAGAAACCCCAGAGCTGCAGCTCTACATGCTGACTGCTGAACACTGGGCCAAAAACCCATCACACTGAAGGCATTTCTTACAGAATTTTGGATGAGAAAAATCCCATTGTCTGACACTGAGAAACAGGCAGCTGAAATGTGATTTTGGATTTTCAGAAGCCCGGTTTGCCTGTGACAGCAAATGTTTTCAATCCCAGTGAAAGGCAGGGCACACTGTCCCTGCTGAGGCAGAGGGATGGGGCTCAGTGCTGGCCAGGTTCCCTTTCCAGAACTCCTGCTGACTCCTGCATGACAATGGACTATTCATCCCCTGCAGATCACTCAACTAGAAAATGGTTTCAAATGCTCGCCTGCCCCTGGAGTGGTGAGGTTTAATCAGATCCTGCAATGAAAGACAGCACAGAGGTGTCAGGTACTTCTGCTGAAGTGGTGCCAGCTGCAGGCTCCAGCATTCCTTCATCCTGCTCCTGTCCCACTCCTCCACCCCCAGGCCCTTCCCTCAAAACATCCTGAACCTCAGCACTGTGATGAGCAAGAGAATCAACACAGCCCTAGCCCATGATGAACCCGTGAGAGATCAGTGATTGCTGCAGCACCAGGGGCCTCCCTCACCCTGCCCAAAGGTGAAAATCCCAGAGCTCCACATGGGAGCTGCACTCACACAATTAGTGATGAGGGTGTCTTTAATTATAGAATCTCAGAATGGGTTGGGTGGGAAGGGACCTTAAAGCCCTCCCAGTGCCGTCCCCTGCTCTGAACAGAGACACCTCCCACTGTCCCAGGCTGCTCCAGCCCCAGTGTCCAGCCTGGCCTTGGGCACTGCCAGGGATCCAGGATGGGCACCCTGTGCCAGGGCCTGCCCACCCTGCCAGGGAACAATTCCCCATTCCCAATATCCCACCCATCCCTGCCCTCTGGCACTGGGAGCCATTCCCTGTGTGCTGTCCCTCCATCCCTTGTCCCTCTCCAGCTCTTCTGAAGCCCCTCTGGGCACTGGAAAGGGCTGTGAGGTGTCTCTGCAGCCTTCTCCTCTCCAGGCTGAATGCTTGATGATGCCAAGATAACTGTAATTTAGAGAGATTTCACTCTATGTCCAAAATTTGAGGCAAGTTCATGGAGATGTAAGTATTAGGAGGAATTTTATGGCCCTGATGGAGTGAATGCTTGGAAACTGGTGGCCCGAAGAGCCTGTTCCATGTGGCCACACAAAGGCCCACGTGCTCTCTCTCCTCTTCCCATGGCATATCCAACCACTGCACATGGATAACCTGCTATTACTCAGGAAGGAGATGCAGGCAATCAGCCAAGGAACCACTGCATAGTTTGGATACTTCAGCTCTGAGTGTTATCACCTCCACTCTGAGAACCCAGCTGATAAAATCATCAGCGAGAGGAACGTCGTGCCAGAAGGAAAATGACTCATTTCTCTCTTTTCTCCTAAGTCACACAGCCTGGAGCACCTGCAAGGCATGGAACATTCACCTTGGACTCCTTGTGGGTGGACATCCTGAGGAAGGTGAGGAAGACACTGCGATGGAGGCATTTCTGCAGCTCCTGCACCTCGGGGTGGCAATCCCACAGCACGTCGAACTTGCGAGGGGCAGAGCGCAGGTAGGAATCCAAACACTTCTGCAGGCTCTCATCAAATATCACCTGGCACAAGGAAAGGCAGGAAAATGGAAGGAGGGAATGTCACACCTTCATAGGTCGTGCTCCTGAGCAGCCCAGTTAAATTTAAAGCAATCAAAAACACTCAGACACACGAAAAGGATTCCTATATCCATCAAATACAAGCCAATTATTAAAATCCCCAATGGAAAATCCTTAGGGAAATCATTTCTTTGCATCTAAGGTGCAGAAATGGAAATGAAATGTTTCCTGCATGACACAATAAGCATAAACAAATCTTTATGAAAATGATGTAAGGCTCATGGCTTTTACAAGCACCTGGATGTTTATGTTGTATCTCCAGATAAAAAGCAATGATTACCTGGCACCAGAATTTGTCATGAGGCAGAGCCAGAAGCCAGTTCAGGTCATCTGCAATGAATTTGGCTCGTTCCAGGAATTCCTCCACCAGAGCAGGGTCTCTGATGGCAGGAGGGGGCTTGTACAGCACGAACGACCGATCTGCTTTAATTTCTGGGTGCTGCAGGAAGCCAAAAAAACACTGTATTAGAACTCTGTATTAGAACCACTGTATTAGAACCTCTGTATTAGAACCTCTGTATTAGAACCTCTGTATTAGAACCTCTGTATTAGAACCTCTGTATTAGAACCTCTGTATTAGAACTCTGTATTACAACCACTGTATTAGAACCTCTGTATTAGAACCACTGTATTAGAACCACTGTATTAGAGCTCTGTATTAGAACTCCAGACCAAGTGACAGCAATGTCACCATCTGCTCACTGAATTCTAGGAAACACAAAGATACCTTTTAATACAACTTGATATTATCAAATCACAGAATGGTTTGTGTGGGAAGGGACCTTAAAGCTCATCCAGTTCCACCCCTGTCACAGGCAGGGGCACCTTCCACTGTCCCCTGCTGCTCTGGGCACCCTGTGCCAGAACCTCCCCACCTTCACAGGGAACATTTCCTTCCCAATATCTAATCTAAACTTCAGTTTCAACCAATTACTCCTTGTCTTGTCACTACAGTCCTGATGACAGGAACATTCCCTCCCCTGGTAACTTCTCATTTTCTACCCTTTCGAGGCAGTGGGTTTGTATCCTTCTTTATGAGCAACATTTTCAGACCTTGATAATTTGGCAGTTGTTGCTCCTTGCTTTCTCTTAACCAAAGCCTGACAAAGCAATCCTCCCACACCACCAAAACAAAGAGCAGGAGTTTCCTGGCATGCCTTTGAACTCTCTCTTTTTCCTCTGAACTGGTTCTTGCACAATACTCCATGAACTCAAACTGACACAACCATCAAAGACACAAACACTTTGCTACCTTTCCCAAAGGTTACTGAACAGGCTTTGCCCAAATACACCCACCCTAAAAGGAGAATTGAGTGAGCAGCAGGTTTGGGCTCTGCCTCATCCCAGGTGTCCTCAGGAGTGAGCTGCACTGACAGTGTCACTCCTGCAACACACCCAAAAGGCTCTCTCCAGACCTTATTTCTGGGAAAATATGGTTTCTGTGGGTTGAATTGTCTGGTTTCATCAAGCTGAAGGCACAAGGGATGAACCTCAGTGCCACAGCTCGGAGCTAAACCTGAGGCAGAGCTTGCAAAAACTCCCAGAGCATCCCTGCACTGCAGCAGAGGTTACCGACACAAGAGAGGGAGCTGTGCTGTAAACACAGTTTACTCCAGACATTGAACACAGCAAGTCTGGGTCTCATGTTTTGGGTCTCATGTCTCTGGGTCTCATGTTTTTTCTTATGGTGGTAAATGAAATCTCAACTATCTGAACACATTAAAAAATAATTTAACAAGCAGGCTGAACAAATTTCACAGAATCTCCTGAGCTGGAAGGGACCCACAGGGACAATCCCAGCCCCTGTCCCTGCCCAGACCCCCAACACCCCCACCCTGTCCATCCCTGGCAGTGCTGCCCAAAGGCTCCTGGAGCTCTGGCAGCCTCAGGGCTGTGCCCATTCCCTGGGCAGTGCCAGCACCCTCTGGTGCTGAGGGAAATTCCTCATGATCTTCCCATTGGAGCTGGGAACTGAAGAGTGTGTTAGGAACCAGGATATTGCCAAAGCACTCAGTGAAAAGGCCTGGTGGGCTTTAGAGGGAGTTCAGGCTTCTGGGAGAAGAACCTTTCCCTGAAATTTACCCTAAACCTCTCCTTCATGCTGTTCTCTCATGTACCCAAGCCAAACCCAGCTGATTTTGGGTTCCCTTTTCCCCCTGTTGCTTCCAGGGGGGTTTCCATGCTGCTTTTCCCCCAGGATGTGGGCAGGGACATCAGGTGTGTGCTGGGGCTGCAGCCTGGAATATCCTGAGTGGGAAAGGACCCCCAGGATCATCCAGGGCAGCTCCAAAACCCCATCCTGGGCATCTCTGGCAGCCTCGGGGCCGTGCCCATTCCCTGGGCAGTGCCAGCACCCTCTGGGGGCAGAGCCTTGCCCTGAGCTCAGCCTGAACCTCCCAGCACAGCCCCAGCCATTCCTGTCACACACCCCAGACAAGCCCCAGTGTAAGACAATGATTTACTGAAGGTCTGTTTGGCTCTCAGGAACACCAGAGCTCACCAGAGCTGGCAGAGTTCTCAGCTTCCCTGTCTGGGGATCCCTTTCTGTCAGCTGGAGCTCGTCCAGAGGCAGTGCTGGCATCCTGGTGGCTTCTTCCTGTCCCAAACAAACAAAAGCAGCACAGGATGCACTTCACAAGGTCAGTCGGGCAAGAGCAGAACAAAAGAGGCTGCAGCCCTGCTGTAACACACACACACTGGGAACACATTTATACCCCACCAAAATGCCAAATTCTGGGGGAACCTGGAGATGTATCAGAGGAAATCTGGAATGTGGTGCTAAATTTTCATCTCTGATACTTACAGATATCTTCCAGGACAAAAAAACCACATTAGGGGACACGGTTTAATATAGAAATTGGATATTTAAATGGGGTTGCTGAAGAGCTGTGCTGAACTCTGGCCTTTGCAGCCTCTTTCAACACTTTCAGTGTCTCTCCTGACAGCACAAACTGCAGAAACAACCCAAACACAGTGCTGGGCTTTAAAACAACCCAAACACTGCCTTGCCTGTGCTTTAAAAGTGCATTTTTGGTGCCTGTGTGTGGAATCTCACAGCACTCAGCCAGACAAGGGACACAGGCTGAGCCTACAAAAGCCTTCCCCACCCACTCCTGCCAATTCCCATGTGCTCACAAAACCTCAGCTTCACCTTCAGCAGCATCTGTGGGCTCAGAAATGTTTCCATTAACTTTCTGAAATTAACTATAAGGCAAATATTGGAGTAACTCAAGAGAAAGAATGTTATGGGCACTGTTAAAAAAGTTCAGACTTAGAAAAATGAAAGTTGCAGGATAAAAGAGCTTTTGAATCCTTCAGGGGGTTACGAGTTCTGCAAAATGGTACTAAAAAGTTATGTCTGTATTAAGAAAGTCAGACATCTCCTCAGATGCATGTTTAATTGCAGTCACATTGCCTGGGCTGAAAAACAATTAAAACAAGAGCAGTGTCTCTAAAGCTGAACAACTCTGACTCAGGAGTGGGGTCATGGTTTAGGCAGCAAGTGAAAAAATAACATTTTTCATTTCATAAATTTGTCACCTATGGATTTAGGCAAAAATTCTGTAATCTAACATTTTAGACCTCAATCAAATTAATACAGCAGAGCAACAGCAATACCCACTGTTTAGAAAACAAATAATAATTCTGTCTTTTCAGAATAATTTAAAAATTAAAATGTTGACAGGAGCAACTATTATTTTATGATGAACAATTTCTTTGGGGAAAAAAAAAAAAAGAAACCACCAAAACTTTTTAGCAGAATAAGCCAAGCTGGCTTTTAGTTCAGTTTCATCATATATTTAATTCGGCTCTTAAAACTTTTAGAGTCATTCTGAAAGTTGCACATAGAAATGTGTGTTTGTAACACAGAAAAGCATGTCAGGTGTCTCATTTCAAGCCTGGAAGGCACCAAAGTCTCCAGTCCAAGTCAAAAACATCCTGGAAGAGACAGAAGCCTAGAGAAGAGAATAAACCTGAGTATGGGATAACCCCAACAGGGAATAATTCCTGATCACTCTCAGAAGCTTTTCCCTCCATAGAGAAATTTGGTCTAAACCACAAGCCCACGATTAATCTGTCATGTCCTGTGATTTCAGGTGCAGTGGAAGAGCCAAACATGATGAACCAGAGAAACTTATTTTCCCAGGGAAATTTATTTTCCCAGTGCCAGGAATGTTCCCTGCCCTGCAATTCCCACTGATGAGCACACCCATGGAGACACCCAGGGTGAGGTGACACTGCTGAGGATGAGGCAGCCAGCCCAGCACAGCTGGCACAGGGAATGCTGCAGGATGGATTCATGGAAGGGTTTATGTTGGAAAG